GGCTTTGGATTTCCATTCATCATTGTTGCACATTTCTCCCCTCCCAAGCCTCCCCCCAGGACAGTACCCCCTTGGAAAAGTAAAAGAAAAATTCTTTCATTGTTTTACAAACCCTCCCCCAGGTCCACTCCACTATGTAGCCATCACTCTAGACTCCTGTCATGACAGAAATACCTAATCAAATATCCCTTTTAAACAGTTTTCTCCCTCCTCTGTTTCAGTGCAGTATACATTACTGAACCCATCTTACTCAGTCTCTCCCCAACTCCAAGGTCAGTCCCATTCTACAACAGTGGCACCATGCAATATTTGTTCTTTTGTGCCTGGGATATTTCACTCAGCATAATGTCCTCCAGGGTCACCCATTTGGAATAATATTGCATGAGCCCCTTGTTTTTCAATACAGCGTAATATTCCATTGTGTGAATATACTACAGCTTCTCTATCCACTTATTTGTTGATGGGCACTTGGGTTGTTTCCAACTCCTTGCTATTGTGAACAAAGCCGCGATAAACATGGGTGTGCATATATCTGCTTGGATGTCAGTGAAGAGCTTCCTTTCATACAGATAGATCTATGGCCTCTGTAGCTCCACAGAGTCAACCACCTCATAGCTGACTCTCCATCAGCTTTTCAGATGTTGTTAAACACCTCAAGTGGTATTCCATTAATTCTTGAGACCTTGGGGTTTTTTTATTTGCCAATGCCTTCAGTGAACCTTGGACTTCTTCCTTCAGTACCATTAATCATATGCTACTTCCTGTAGTAGTTCTAAAGAGCAAGGGCATCAGTTTAAAGACTAACGTGCACCCAGTGCCTTGGTATTTTTAGTTGCTTCCGATGCATCTAAGTTGGACAATGAATAAGGAAGGCCAAAGAAGAATTGATGCCGTTGAATTGTGGTGTTGGCAAAGAGTATTGAATATTCTTGGACTGCTAAAAATACAAACAAATGTCTTGAAGGAAGTCCAAGCAGGGTTCTCCTTAGAAGAAGGATGGTGCAACTTACTCTTATTTACTCTGGGTATATTTTCAGGAGGAACTAGTCCTTTGAAAGTAACATCACGCTGGGAAAAGGAGAGGTAGAGAGGGAGGCCCTCCATGGAATGGATCCATGCGGTGACTCCACAGTGTTCTTGAGATTTATAAGGACATGAGAATGGTGCAGGACAGGGCAGGGTTCGTATCTGATGCTCATAGGGTCGCTTTGAGTTTTTGTGGACTTGCTGGCACCTAACTACAACAACAACAAAAACAGACAAGAACTTAAACAGGAAAGTCTGCAATTAAGAGCAAATCCAGGCAGCTTTCAGTTAAAATTTTCCTTCCCATTCTTGACACAGAGACACAAGGTCTTGTCTGTTACGCTATTGAGACGGGAGTGAATCTCAGCTACATACTTCAGGATGGGGAGGCACACGTCAACAATGAGCTTCATCTTGATCCCGAGGTCTTCCTCCAATGTTCTTCTAGACGAAACAAAGAAAGGGCTTCAGTCTAATAAGGAAGTCTCTTTCAATTATCCTTCTAGACTAACGAGGACACATCTTCATTTTAAAATCTTAAAAGAATATTCATTTCAAACTGTTATTGTTATATGTTAGATGCTGTCCGGTCGACTACCTCTCATCTCACCCCGAGGAACAACAGCTCAGTAGCTTGCTCTATCCTCATGATCTCTAGAATACTCAAGTTCATGGTGGTAGTTACTGTCAATCCGTCTTTTTGAGAGTCTTCCTCTCTGTCTCTGACCTTCACCTTGCCCAACATGATGTCTCTTTCTAAGGACTGGCTCTTCCTGAAAATATGACCAGCTTATGTAGTTTCACCATCTTTACCTCTTAGGAGCACTCTGTACTTGAAACTAGTTATTGTTGTTGTTATGTGCCGTCGAGTCGCTTGCAACTCATAGTGACTCTGTGTACAACAGCCCTAAACTCTGCTCTGTCCTGTGCCAATCGCACTGTCTCTGATACACCCATCCCAATTACCCCAGTCACTGAATCAATCCACCTCATAGAGGGCCTTCCCCTCCTGCGCCGTCCCTCCACTCTCCCAAGCATGATGTTCCTCTCCAAGGACCGGTCACTCGTTACAACATGTCCAAAGTATGTCAGACGAAGCCTCAGAGTCCTTGCCTCCAAGGAGCAGCACAGTTTAACCCTCTCCAGGATGAATCTGTTTGTTTTCTTGGCAGTCCATGGTACATTCAATACCCTTCTCCGGCACCACAGCTCAAAGGCATCAATTCTCCTTCTATCCTCCTTAGTCATTGTCCATGACGCATAACAAGTGATTGCAAAGACCATGGCCTGTATCAGATGCACCTTAGTCTCCAGAGAGACACCATTGCTCTTCAGTACTTTGGAGAGGTCCCTAACAGCAGACTTTCACATCGCAATACGTCTTTTCATTTCCTGGCTGCTGGTGCCAAGAGTGTTAATTGTGGATCCAAGCAGACTAACGCTGTGAACAATCTCAATCTCTTCGTCATCCATCCTGATGCTACCAATTGGTCCAGTGGTGAGAATCTTTGTCTTCTTGACATTGAGCCTCAATCCATATTGTAGGCTGCAGTCCTTGACCCTCTGCAGCAAGTACTTCAGATCCTCCTCAGTTTCAGCAAGCAGGGTTGTGTCATCTGCATATCACAGATTGTTGATAGATCTTCCACCAATCTTGACCCCACATTTCTCCTCATAGAGCCCAGCCTCCCAGATAATTTGTTCTGCATACAGGTTGAAAAGTTATGGAGATAGGACACATCCCTGGCGTATGCCCTTCCCAATTTTGACCCATGCAGTGTTCCCTTGCTCTATTGTTTACCTTATGCTAATCTCTGGAGGGAGGAATTCAGTAAATATAAACTGAGAACAAGGTTGACTCTTAAGGAATGCCTTAGGGCCTCAGGTGAACTCCAGCTTGTATTATGCCTCCATTATACCCTGATTTAGCATTTGGTTTATTATTAATATTAAATTTGATATTTGGCTTCCCACAGTGTAGTCCATAGGAAGTTGTGCTGCAAACCCAGAGGTGGCCCCTCTCTAGTGGTTCAAATTCACCTGCAGCTCTATGGAGAATGATGGGTAGCCCTCTCCCGTACAATTTACAGTGTCAGCAAACCCATGGAAGGGTCGGTGTTGGGCTGGTTCCAACTTGACAACAATGGGATCGAGGACGACTGAGGGAGCTCTGATGGTGCATCCCACAGGGAGTTTACCACCAGGCCAAAGGCCATGAATGAGTCAGAATCTGATGGTTCAAATCCATCAGTGGCTCCATGGGAGAAAGGTGGGCATCTCCTCTCAAGCAGTTCACAGACTCTAGAAACTTATTGAGGATCAGCAATGAGTTGATTCCAACTGCACTGCAATGAAGTGAGGAGCTGCTTTACTACTAATCGTGATGTCCTTCTCCAGAGACTCCTCGGGTAACATGTTCAAAGCATGTGAAAAGAAATCTCGGATCCTCCTTGATTCTCTGGAGCATTTGGTTACACCTGTTAGAAGAGAGGAAGGACTGTGCCCTTAGTAAGAAAAGAAACGTTCTGTGCATGGGAGGAGTACAGAAAGTTTGTGGACTCGGGGAATTTTGTGGTGTGAGGATGGAAAGTTGAGGGGTTCCCTGATTGTGGTTTCTGTTTCCCTGTAATACTCATGGTGAGTCGTGTCCTGGAAAGTAGGGCCCATTAAGATCTGAACTGTGTGAATGTCTAAAATTTCCTTCCTGGCCCCTGGGGAATAGACACTTGGGAATCATCGAAATATCACTCACTGATCTGTGCCAGGAGGTTCCTCAAGCTTGAGTTCTATGTTTTCAGGTGCTATATGAAGGGTTACCGTTTCTAACCCATCCTGCTGCTTCAGGGGAGGGAAGACCAGCAATCAGTTACCTTAAATATTGTGTTAGGTGCTGGTGATTTGACTGGGACTCGTAGCAATGCTATGCATAACAGATTGGCAGTCTATGATATATCCAGTTCTCTTTGCCAACACCACAATTTCGGGGCATCAGTTCATCTTCGGGCTTCTTTATTCAGTGCCTAACCCATGCTTGAGTCAGGCCCTGAGAGCTCTGAGGGGGGTCGTGGTCCGCAGGGAGCTTGGCTGCCTACCCAGAGGTGGTGCCTCTCTGATGGTTGAAATCGACTAGTGGCTCTGTGGGAGAAAGACTGGAAGTCTCTTGCCATATGATTTACAGCCTCTGAAAACCTGCTGGAGGGTCAGCACTGAGTTTAAGGAGGTTCGGTTTTGTTTTGTTGCTTTTTGAAGGTCATAAAGATTGGGAGGTTTCTGGAAGATGTAAGTTGTAGCAAGGTGAGAAAGAGAAGCCAGCATTCTCCAGGGGATCTTGTCTGGCGAGGTTTATGCGTCATGCATGTTGATGAGTGTGTGCATCTGTATGTGATGTGAGTGTGGTGTCTGTGCGAGGTGCGTCTGTATTGAATCTCTCTGTGTGAGCGCGCGCGCGCTCGTGTCCGTGCCTGTGCGTGGTGTGTATTTTCAAACTTTGGGTACTAGCAGAGATAGATGTCAGCTTGAACCGGCTTGGACATGATCTTGCTGTCAGGGTGCCTTTTTCTTCCCACCGGGAAGCCCCTTTGTGGTTTGCGTCTGTTTGCGCCGGCGTCTCCTGCTGGGAGCTGTCTGCAGGCGGGATCCACCCGCTGCCGCCGGTGTCAGCAGCCGCGCCCAGCGCTGCGCCCACATCGCTCCTAAAATAGCTCGTTGCTTGTGATGTGAGGCGAACTGGCCCAGGCTCTGCGGACCCAGCACCAGCCAGAAATCGAGGTGCGTCTAGGTGCGCCCGAGCTCCGCCAGGGTCATTTCCTGGGTCCGAAGGGGAGACGGACACTGCATGGTCTCCGTCCCCTTGGTTGCCTGGCCGTCCCGGATCCAAGGGGGAGACAGACGCGTCCCTCTCCCCCTGGGGCCTGGCTGGACCGGTCCTTGCTGTGGGCGTGCGTACCTATGGGCCTATGCGCTTCTCTTTGCAGGGCACGCCACCATCACCAACTACTTGTTGAACTATTTCCCGGGCCTGGACGTGGAGAGGAGGAACGTGTTCGGGTTCACAGCGCTGATGAAAGCCGCCATGCAGGGCCGGACCGAGTGCATCCGCGCCCTAATGCTGGCAGGTAGGTCCAACGCGCACAGTCTAGACCTCTCCCTGCATAGGCTGAACCTCAGAGGGGGTGGGCGCCCGTCTCATCTTCCCCTACTGCGTCCTCCAGAGCCAGGCCTCTCCCTGCAATGCCCTCCCTGCTGAGTTTGGAGGGGGGCGCCCATCGCTGCGAGGCCGCGCCAAGCCAGAGCCCCGCTCTCCCGGGCCCCAAGCTCCACCCCACCTCCCCAGTCCCATCCCCCAAGCCCCACGCCCACCCTTAGTCACACCTTCAGCCCACCCCTCAGTTCCCCTCACCTCTTCAGCTCCATCCCCCCAGCCCTACTTCTCCTTTCTAGCTCCACCCGACCCCCAGCTCCAGCCAGTGGAGACACACACCCCGCCCAAGCCCCACCCCACCAGAGCTGCCCCTGATAAGTGCCCTGTCAGATGCATCCCTTTTCACTGCTGCGTCCCATAAGAGCCACGCCCCGTTGGAAACACTTCCTCCCCTGACAGCTCCAATTGAGTCATTTGTTTATCTTGTGAGGTTGCATCACCTTAGCTCTGTTCATAGCGACCCTATGCCACAGACAGAAATCTGCCCTTTCCGAGCCTTCCTCACAGTCTCAGCAGGGCCTGAACCCTCTGTGAGCCAGCCCTCCTCCTAGAGCCAGTCCCGGTATAACCATGCCCCCATTAAAAGGTGCGCCTCGTAGAACCACACCCCAGCAGCCAAAGGCCTTCAGGACCACACCCCCTCAGAGCCACACCCCCGCTGATAGGTGCACCTGCCCGTAGAACCACACCCACCAGCCAAACACCTTCAAGGCCACATCCCTGAGCCACGCCCCCATTGATAGGTGCGCCTGAACCACACCCCACAGCCAAAGGCCTTCAGCGCCACACCCCCTCAGAGCCACGCCCCTTGACACCAGCGCCCTATCAGAGCCTTGCTCGAGAGTCTGAGCCCACCTCAGCCTCCGTTTGGGCCAAAAAAAAATGCTAATTTAGCTTCTTGACAGCCTATTGTTTCAAGATTGGAATCCTTCAATGTAGAAACCGGTGTTAGTAACAAACAGTAATTTTAATTTCTTCCTTGAGGTATTGTTACATCATTAAAATGCCAAAATCAGGGGAGCTCTGGTGGCCTAGTGGCAAGGAGCTGCAACTACAATCCCAGAGACACACGGTTCGAATCCACCAGGTGCTCTGCCGGGGAAGGAGGGACAATCTCCTCCTGTACCAGTCAGATCTGATTTGACGGTATACTCACACAAAAATAATAAAATAAATTTTTTTTAAAAAATGCCAAAATCAAGCGTCCTCAGTATCAGGATATATTCCTGAATGGATTGCCACTGGCTGACTGTCCCTCTTACCCCACCCTTGACTTGGCAATGGCCTTTTCTTAGCCTCCACTCTACTCCCCAAGCTCTGCCTGTATCTTAAAGAATTTGTATCTTCGCTTGGCTCTGAAAGACGAGACTGCCCCACTGAAATGGGCGCAAGGATGGTAGGTGAGGCAAGGACCCAGAGCCATCCTGCGAGCCTCCTTCTGGTGGTTAGAGCTGTGTGGTGATACTGGGCACCCAGTTCTTTTCTTACTCTCCACTGGCACGTTTTCATCGACTTTGTTGATGGCTTGAGAAACTTAAGTCCACTGGTAAAAATGATCCCTGGTGCAAGTAGTTAACACAGACGTCTGCTAGCTGAAAGGTTGGAGATTTGCTCTTACCCAAGGGTACCACAGAAGAAAGGCCTGGCAGTCCTCACTTGTGAAAAATCAGCATAATTCCTTCATTCCTCCCCAGGAGGCTGAAGGGGCAGGATTTTGTCTAAGACCCAGAGCAAAACAGACATTCATTCAAACTAGTTCAGTCTTGACCAACGAAGAATAATCAGACCCTCGTTTGTAGAATATGGGTATACTGAAACTAGAACTGGAATAAAAAAAATTACATATGGAATCTTTAGAATGGGATCAGAAGAGGCAGAGTGGACTCTTTTGAGACATTTTGGCCAGGACCTCTTTGGAGAGGGTCACAAGTTTAAAGCTAAACCATCAGCTGCCATCTCTGAGACGGACACCATTGTTTCTGACTCTGTTTATCCAGAGGTTTGGTTGCTATGCATCACATATGCTGTCTTGGTTTTCTGGGAGTGAGGTTCCATTTCCAGCAGGATGTATACCCATCATAATTCTGACCCATTCCAGGATTTTTCAGGTTACAACGTTTGTATTTTCTAAGGTGAATTTTAAAAGATAAGTGAGCCACAGGAAGATGACTGCAAAACTTTGACGAGCTGTTCCTTTCGTTTCCCATTAAGCATTTGAGAAATGTCTCTTCTGAGGTGTGTTCATTAAGATTTTAATTTTGCAGTTTGCTCCTTTCCTGGTGACATGCAATTAATAAAGGCTTAATGTGTCATCTATTTTTTGCAATGACATTCTTACTGCCCCCTTTTCATTTTAGTCAATTTATAAATTGTACTCCAGCTAATGAGCTCCTCCTGATTTCCAGTTCCAAATAATTACCACTCTCCAGAATCAGCAATTCTTTAATATGTCAGCGAATTGAGACTTTGACCAGCAGAGCTCTGGTAAGCTGGGCCCCCCCTGGCCATTGGGAGGAAGTAACAGAGCTCCCTGCCTCTCCTGGTTCAGCAGGTATTGATCAGCCACCATGTGTCAGACGCTTGATCTGCTTACAGTGAGAAAGAGGCCCAGTCCTCTGAGAACCACATACCAGATAATTGCCCTAGTTCTCCGTGTTGATTTGCCAGTGGAACTTGGGATTCTGAATGTTTGTAACTCCGTGTGGTTCTGTGATTATTCAGATGGCAATTTCTCATTCATTTCTTACATTACACAAACAATGAATTCTTACTCATGGACTGAAGGCAAATTGATGTCTTTTAATTGTGGTGTTGACAATAACTATTGGATATCCTATGCACTGCCGAAAGACCAAACAAATCTGTCTTGGAGGAAGTGCGTTTGGGATACTTCTTAGAAGTGAAATTTCCCTCACAATCACTGTGATGTTTTCTCCTATTGCTGTAGACATTATTTCCATTCATCTTGTTGAGGGCCTGTCTCTTTCTATTTGCCAAACAGAATGTGCTTCTCTGGGGCTTTTACCCTCCTGATAACACGTCCAAAGTATGTGAAAGGAAGTTTCTCCATCCTTTATTCATGGAGATTTTCTGGCTGTATTTATCTGTACAAAGACTTATCTTCTGGAAGTCTACTTTTCTATAAGTTTGTTATAGTGGAGTGTCTCATTGTGTGGCTGTGATGGGGAAGTAGGCCACCGTTGTTTAAAATGTCAGCCGGCCTACCAAGAAAGACATGGATTTGAACAGGTTTCCAAGCTTCCAGAGCTTATGTATTTTGATGAAAAAGTTGACCACTGAAAACTTTCTGTACAGCAATGGAAAGCTTCCCCTACTACCCATCAATTGGTTTCTTGAGAAAATGTTTTTTCAAGTTGAAATTCTTTGACATTCTTTGAGGTATGACTGACAATGTTTTCTTGTTAAATTCTTAATACATTTTGGAGATTCTGCAAAACTATAATCTGAAGATTACAAAGTTATTAAAATTTTGTTTTGTCATATGAACACTCAAAAAAAAAAAGAAGTGAAATTTCATGTCACATACTTTGGGCATGTTGTCAGGAAGTGGCAGTCCTTGGAGAAAGTTACTGTGCTGGGAAAGTGGAGGGAGAGTGAAAGAGCAGAAGCCCCTCAGGGAGATGGATAGACACAGGGAGAGCAGCAATGGGCCTGAGCACAGTGGGGACAGGGAAGATGGAGCAGGGTAGGACGAGGCTCCGATCCGCTGTTGATGACTATGAATAGTAATTAACTGGAGGGCTTCTAACAGCAACTGATTTATCCTATGTTGCCGTTGAGTCAGTTGTAATTCTATGTGTTACACTGTAGACCTCTGTCCTAGCACTTTCTTGGCTGTGGTATTCATGAAGAAAGAAGTCGTGGGTGATACTAACAGTTCAGTGCTTCACTACCAGCCGAAAGGTTGATGGTTCAGTTCCACTCAGAGGTGCCCAAGAGGAAACCCTTGAAAATGCGCTGGCAGATGGCCACAGACCTTGAACACATTATAGAGCAGTTGTACTGTGCCACACATAGCTTGCACATGAGTTAGAAGTGACTTGGCAGCAGCTAAGAAAGAAAGAGAATCTTTGTGGAAGTGGCTGCTAGGACTCTGCCCAGTGGTACTGAGGGGTTTGAACACCAATCCTTAGATTAGCTGCTGAGTGTGAGCCACTCATGCTCCCTCGGGAACCTCTGTATCTGTACTGTTGCTGCTGTTAGGTACCATGGACTCATGGTGACCCTGTGAACAACAGAGATAAACCCTTCACTATCCTGTGCCATCCTCATAGTCTCTGACACACTTGAGTCCATTGCTGCAGTCACTGAATCATTCCATCTGGTGAAGGGCCTTCTTCTCCTTCCCTAACCCTCCGCCTTTCCAAGCATGATGTCCCTCTCCAAGGAATAGCCTCTCCTAGCAACATGCCCACAGGGTGTGTGAGACAAAGATTTGCCTTCCTTGCCTCCGAGAGCACTTTGGCTGCACTTTCTCCAACCCATATCTGTTGGTTCTTTTGGAAGTCCATAGGGTGGATATGCAGTGCTCTTCTCCAACAGCCCAGCTGAAAGGCACCAGTCCTTTTTCTGTCATCCCTATTCATTGCCCAGCTCTCTAATGCATTGCAAGTGATGGGGAAGACCATTCCTGAGTCTGTATTAAGAAGCTAAACATTTTGCTGGCCCTGCTGAGTTGAGTTGTTGTTCGCAATGTTTGGGGGGCAGTGATAAGACATAAGTGGGACTCACAAAGGAAGAGACAAATTAGTATAAGCAGGACTTCAAGGGAGAAGGCTGCTCTGCGGGGGTTAGGGAGTGCCCTGGGCTGAAGCTCAAGACAGGACCTGAGGTCGCCTGTCCCAGTAACTCAGTGATCAGCCTCAGATAGGTCCTTTGACCTCTGTGACCAGCGTCCATTCAGTAAGGAGCCTTTACTAAGCACACGCCTCCTTCCAGCCAGGACTATGTGATGTTCTGTTCTGGAAAGGCCTGCAGCCTGGTGAAGCACACAGGCTGTCGCCCAGCTAAGCTCCCACAAGAGAAGTGAAAGTTGTTGTGTACTGTTGGGATGACCCGTAGCTGATTCTCCAGCAGGTTTTCAGAGGCAGTAAATCATAGGGCAGATTGCCCATCCCTCTCCTGCAGAGCTGTTGGTGAATTTGAACCGTGTGACTTTGGGATTGTGGTGCAGCTTCTTACCACTAGGGCCTGAGCTGGAAAGGACAAGAGGAGCCTGCATTTCCTTCCAAACACTTCCAAGCACTTCCGCTGGTCTCCCCCCACAAGATGGCTGAGGAAACAGGGAGGCTGTTTGGGTCCCAAAAGGCTTTGCAAAAGAAGCTTGAGAACATTCTAGAGGCCTCCTCTTCCTGCTTGCATGGTACCTTTGTAGATGGTGTCATCCCTCCATCACCGAGAGTCAACAGACTCGGATCTCTTATTTTAAAAACATTTGACCCCTGAGACTACTACTGCCTCTAAACCTTAAACCCAGTATCTCCCTGAAACTGTCTTAAAGCCAAACAATCGGATAACCAGTGAACAATGTCTACCTTGAGCACTGTGTACTTTCAGAACTACCAATACACGACGTGTAGATATTTGTAGACTGGAATTGTTTTGTACTGGAGTTGCTTTGTTTGCAAATAACATGCCCACATGAATAACACACATACAATGCACAGGAAGCTGACAGGGGATGAGACTGGTTGGTTTGCCAAAACTATCCGTCTGTCTATCTATCTATCATCTATTTATCCATCTATTATCTATCTATCATCTATCGCCTATTTATTATCTATCATCTACCTATTATCTCTCCATCAATCTATCTATGTAATCTATCTGTTATCTATTATCTATCATCTGTCTATCTATCTTCTACCTCTCTATTATCTATCAATCATCTATCTGTTTGTCTATCATCTATCTATTATCTATCATCTATCTATCTATCTATCTATCTATCTATCTATCTAGTTGGTTCCAACTCCTGTTGACTTTTTACAGGGTTTTTAAGACTAAGTCTTTGCAGCAGGGAAGTGCCTCCCTCAGTGTGGATGGTGGATTTGAACTGCTCACCTTGCAGTTAGCGGCCCTCCATGTTTCCTCCTACACCATTAGAGGCCCTTAGCCTGCTCTGTCTGTGTAAAAATATGGTAACTACGTTCACTGACTTGTGTTGTAGAGACTGTGGAACTGGTTCTGGTGGAGAGTCGTACCGTTGGCCCAGAGGCCCCCTCCTCTCTGGTAGTTCAAATCCACCAGCTGCTCTGAGGGGGAAATGTGGGCAATCCCCTCCTGTGCAATTTACAGCCTCCGGGAAATCCCTGGGGGGTCAGCATACTGGGAGTATTACTGAGTCAGTAAGACTCAGGAGTGGTAAGTGGTGAAAAGAATTTTTTTTAAAAAAAGGTTTTTAAAATATTCTGATTCAGATGTTACAGTCAGGTAGGCTCTTCTTTTTCTTCCGTTTTGTAAATCTATTATTGTTATGTACACAATCAGAACTGACTCATAGCTGACTCTGGTGGTTTTTCAGAAGCGGTACATAGCACTGGATTTTTATCTCGTGAAGTAGCTAATGGATATGAATCTCATGTCCTCGGGTTGGTAGGGGCATCTCCTTACCACTAGGCAGCCAGCACCAGCTGTTATCAGAGGCCACCAAGTCTAGTGAGTGCCAGCCGCCCTGTGAACAACAGATCTGAACACCGTCCTTCCTATCCTGTGTCGCCCTCACCATCTGACACACTGGAACCCCTGGTACAGTCACTATGCAGCCCATCACACCGAGGGTCTTCTTTTTTTAACTGACCCTCCACTTAGGAAAGACAAAGCGTGAAAGAAACCCTCAGGGTCAGCTGTGTTTGAATAAAAACACTTTAGGGGGTCATTATGACAGGGAATGGCAAAGGACACCCTGACAAAGGAGATCAATCAGAACCGGTTTTGACAAAGACAGTGGCAATATAACAATCGAAACCAACCCTCAAGGAATGAGGCCATATGACCATAAAAACAGACTCTCAAGGAATGTGGCAAAACAACAGACTCTAGGACAAGATAAAGGAGATGGCCAAAGTCACCATACACCTGTGAGAAGAAATGCACTGGGCAGTTGTTTAAACCCCACTCCCTGCTAACAAAAGACATATAAACCCCTTTCTAAGAACGGGGTCAGTCTGTCCTGACTCGTTCATAGTCAATTAACCTGTTTCTTTGTCATGCTCTCACTTGGTATTGGTGTCTTTCTTGTACTTCCGAGTCAGAACTTTCTAGTTCTTACTGGAAGAGGCCCCTGGACCTCTTTTGGAAAACATCCCCTTGACAGTTAGACCTCAGGATTCTGAGGGGAGGGAGCTGGAGTCTGTGACTGGGTTTTGAAGTTTTGCTTTTCGTGTTCAGCCCGCGGAGGGCAGGTCTTCCTGCCCGCGCTCACGCCTGTTTGTGTTTTCTCCGCGCAGGGGCAGATGTCAACGCCAAGGACCCCCGGCGCGGGATGTCCCCGCAGGAGTGGGCAGCGTACACGGGCCGCTGGGAGGCCGTCCGCCTCTTCCGGAGGCTGCTGGAGCGGCCCTGCCCCGAGCAGTTTTCCGAAAAGTACAAGCCCGAGCTGCCGCTAGCCACAGAGACTCCGAAGTCCGCCGACTCCAAGAACTGCTTGCAGAGACTCGCCGCCTTCCTGCGCTCCGCTTTGACCCCGCGCTCGGTCCAGGGCCTGGAGGATGGCGGAGCCCTGGACCACATGGTCAGGATGACCACCAGCCTCTACAGCCCGGCCGTGGCAGTGGCCTGCCAGACCGTCTGTCCCGAGGACCCACCCTGCGTCGGGAAAAGGCGGCTGGCGGTGCAGGAGATCCTGGGGACCCGAGCGGACCGAAGCACTCCTGCCCAGGACAGGAACGAGGCTCAGGACCCTGAGTCACAATGCCAGCCCTCCCGGTCCAGCGAGGTGTCCAGCGAGGGGTCCCGCAGAGCAAGCCTGGCCACACCCCCGCTGCGGGGCTCCCAGGTGGCCCCTCCCCCGCGGAAGGCCAGCCTCCTCCCGCTGCAACTGCTGAGAAGGAGCAGCGTGCGGCCGGGCGTGGTCATCCCCAAGGTCAGGGTCAGCAAGGCGCCCGCGCCCACCTTCCACCCGGAGCGGGCAGCCTCCAGGGGCAACACCAAGGACAGCGCCCACCTGCAGATCCCCAAATGGCGCTACAAGGAGGCCAAGGAGGAGAAGAAGAAGGCGGAGGAGGCCGAGCGGAAGCGCGCAGCCGAGGCGCAGAAACAACGGCGGAAGTCATCTCGTTTTAAGAAAAGGACGTGAGGGTGTCGGCAGGTTTAAGGGGTGACCAGACCAGAGGCCCAGCTGGCGGCGGCACTGAGGGAGGAGGAGGTGCTCAGGGATGGACAGCTAGCGCGGGGATGGCGCGCCTTCCTCGGGCATGTGCGCACGCCCTGGGCGCAGGGTCTCCTTCCTGCCCGGGGCGCGGGGATTGCGCACCTCCCTCCCGCTGGGCTCCTCTGTGCAGGGTCTCCCTGCCCAGACTCGGAAGGCAGGCCTCACTGGTCCTGGCTGGGTCCTTCCAGCCGCATCCCACAGGAAATCTGCGTTCCCACCATTCGATTTACCCAAAACCAGTTCACCTAGTCTGCGCTCCAGGAGGCCCATTGCCCACAATCTACCTACTTTAGAACCTCAATTCTGGACTTTTCAAAGTCCATTTTGTCAAAGGGCGGTTTCTGTATCATTTTGTATTTTTAATGATTATTTATCAAACTCGCTGCACTTTAGGAGCCATTGAGGCTCTTTGTAGATAACCAGGTTGGATATGCGCTCTGGAGAACCTTTGTTGAAAATGCCGTTTCTAGCAATAAATATTTATTATATCTGTGTCGTTTCATAGAGTGGAAGTCTCCCCTTTCTGACACTGTTTTTGTCTTTGTCTTCGTGTGTCAGATGGGTGGTGTGCGCTGTGTGGTCTCAGGGAACCCTTGGGAGGGGGCTCTTAGGTGCCCTGGAGCCCATGAACAGTGCCTCTGAACCCGACCCTATCCTGAGCCAACCTCTGACCGTCTGTCCCCATTGCCACAGTCAGTGTGTCAATCCATCTCATCCAGGGTCTTCCTCTCTTGGCTGACCCTCCACCCTTGCAAGCATGACGACCTTCTCCAAGGACTAGACCCTCCTGACAACATGGCCAAAATCCTTGCCTCCAAGGAGATAGAAAACTGAATTTATCTTTATGGAAATTTTCGTTTTCTCAGCAAATGAATAGCCAACTTTACACAGACAGAGTGACTCACACCACTGTATCTTGTTTTTTAGGCTCTGTTTGTATATTTAGAAACTCTGCGGTTATAGTAACCATAGTTATCTGGCTGTTAACCAAAAGGTTAATAGTTCGAATCCACCAGCTGTTCTGCTAGAGAAAGATGCACAGTCTTCTGCAGAGATTTATAACATTAAAAAATGCACACACACACCCCAAACAACTATGAAATATCATCTCACCCCAGTCAGAATAGCAAAATTTAACAGAACAGCAAGCAACAAATGCTGGCGAGGTTGTGGAGAAACTGAAACCCTTATTCACTGTCGGTAGGAGTGTAAAATGGTGCAACCACTGTGGAAAGTGATGTGGCGCTTTCTCAAAAAGTGGCAAATAGAGATACCATTTGACCCAACAATTCCACTACTGGGAATATACCCGAAAGAGA